CCACGATACTGGATGCACCATCACTCAAGGACTGCCACCTGCTAGAGCAAGAACAATTACAAACATTGCTATAGCAGCATTCTCTGTCCCAGGAAGTGCCAGTGGCAATAGCTTATAAGGGAAAGGCCACATCATTTCCATTCTAAACTTGCTACACGAACTACCACCACGGCTTCAGACAGTTGGCTGAGGGCACAGATTCCCTTACAGAGACCGAGAGAAGTTGAACACCTCCCTCTTCTCACAACAAAGCCACATCACCACAGTCCGCAGTCTGCTACTGCTGAACAGGAGTAAAATACCCTGTTATGTGTCCACAGGAGCACTTTGCCATCTCATAACACGGACAGAGAGTCGATGCTGCCCTCTTCTGGCAAAAAGTGCATGAGAAATGTTACTGGAAAAACCATGAATATGAGATTTCAAGAACAGAAGTGGGAACTTTCAGAAACCAAAGCTGCCTGGAAAAGATTCAGTTTAATAATAATAATTTCTCCTTTCCTTCTCTTTCCCACGCACACAGGAGGGAGGGCCACACGGAACACCAGACGCCTACAGGCAGTTTAAATGAGACCTCTATTATTGCTAGTGACCCACACTCAAAATTGGCCACAACTGGAAGCTAGCTGTCTGCTAAAAACAGGATTGATCTCACTAAACTGTTTGACAGCACACTGATGAGAGGGTGATTATGTGGAAAGGACAAGCTAGCATAATGAAAGGATGTCATGAAAGGTACTTGCACCCTGGTTAAGGGCTAGATTAGAAAGCTCACTGCTCTATCAATGTCTTATTTATTTCACTTCTTTTTCCAGGTACACCTTTTCAAGTGTTAATTTAACCAATACAACCTAATCAGTGTATTGGTTTATAATATGCTTTAAAAAAAATTAAAAAAAAATTACATTATTCACCTCTAACTAATACCTATATATGCAATTTTTTGTCACTTTGTGGGAAATAAAAGTCACCCTGAATGGCCTGGTATGGTAAGCTGTAACAGGTTTATTTAAAAATACAGCTCTCCTCTCTGCGTACCATGATCTTCTAGTCTTGTTAAAGAGCCTCTGTCACCAAGGCCTGGAAGACTTAATATACGAGGTTTATTATGATTAGAAATCATTTGTACAGCACTGTAAATTCACACAGCACTTTCCCAAGACCATTTATAAGTCTAATGGCACTATAAATTCCCGTTAGCTTCCGCACTTTATTCCCCAGAATCTCTGTTTATTCAAATGATCTCATCCCCCCCACTGCACTCTTTCTTTGAATACATCAAGCCACAGTTCCACACTGGGCTGCCCATCTCCCAAGCGACAGGCTGGGTGGATTGCTAACAAAGCCCTAACACTTCAAAAAAAATCAGGCTTTACTATTAAAACCAAACGTCCCTAACAACAGCACGATAATGGCACAGATATTTGGCTTTCAAAGCGCACTGGCAACAATTGCTGCTGTTTGTATTACTGTTCACAGTGAACAGCCCCAACACACATGAGCACTTCTCTCAATTCTTGCAATCTGCATTAAATTGCTCAAGCACACATGCAACCAGCAGCAGGCCCTCCCCCTGCCACCACACGTACTTGATGCTATCGGTGTGCGTTTTATATTCCATGATGGTGTTGGGAGGTAGGTTGAGCACTCTTCGTAACGTATCGCGTATCCGGGCTGTTGTGGCCTGGTCGCTGGCTGTCTTGTTCCATATTGAGATAATATCCTCCTACAGAATAGCATGTGAGGGGTAAGCAGATGGTACTTTTTGTAGCCCTGCCAAGTGGAAGTACATGCCAGTTCTCAGAAGTGCTTACCTGGAATCGGACAGAGACGACTGCCCCACAGATTTCTTCCCCCACCATAAACTGTTCTCCCAACATTGCCAGAATGAGATTCTCCCAGCATCGTGACGCTAAGCCCTTTCGCAGACGGATAATCCATTTACCACCATTTTTGTTGGCATCATCCTAGGAAGAGGGGCAAGAAATCGATTTGTTTCCTTCTAGCTATTTTTCTGCTTCTCACAAGACAGCAGAGCCACAGACAGGAGCAGATATTGATTGGGTGGGGCAAGGGACAGAATGAAGGTATTTTCAAGCAAAAGCATTTCACTTCTCCCCCATACAAGCAGAGACAGAGGTATACCACTTACTTTGAATACTAAATATTTGAAACAATGACTTTCAGTGTTCCAGATGAAGCTCTATGCACTGAAGACTTGAGCTCTAGTGTTTTGATCTCACTAGCAAAGACTAATGCCAGCCCACCAATCTGCACACAGAACCAGAGACAAGGACCCTAAAACTATTCCTAAACCCAAGACTGATTCCCCCTTTGTCTAGCCCCCTGTATATGTACTTCTGCTTGTAAAACAGGAAAAATCCCTCATTGCAGAACATGGAAGGCAGAGAAAGAGTTTGCAAAGTGATATTTGAACGCAAGCAAAAAGTTGACAAAACTTTCCTTCCACATTTCCAGGAATGGGCTCACAAGTTGTGTTAACATAGAAAGGACCAATCCTTTCTCTGGGAACCACTGACATTATCACACATCATACAGCTGGATGTTTGTTCCAGACTGTGGTGACCCAGGGAAATCAGCAAAAATGAGGGGAGAGAATAAAGAAAACATTTATGCTAAGCACCCAGTATGTCACCTCGATATTGTGATTCCACATGTTGCACCTGAAAAAGAGCTGGAAACTGCTACAGACTCCCCTGCTTCACAGAACACACACCTATGTCAAACAGCAGCTCCTCCTCTGTACAGAAGAATGCTGTGGCATTCTCTTGTACAACACTGTAGGTGGGAAATTTTACAAGGTGAGAGGGGAAAAAATTCCATCCAAAGCCAAAAAGAGAGAGGTAGGAACAAGACAAAGAGGTGGCAGTTAGGAAGGGAAAGGGAAGACAGGTCTAGGTCAGAAACAGAGAAGAACAAAGGATAACTCAGATGAGACTGCACAACACAGGATATCTCTGGCCAGATCACCAGTAATCCCCTCTGCCAAGCTGGGACACACCTTAAAGATGCTAGGCAAGGCAGCCAACCCTTCTTAATGAAATAAAGTTAACTATTTTAGCCTTAAAGCTTCTTTAGGGCTCAGATAAAACTAAGTATTTGTGTGCTCTCAGAGACAGCAAGTGCTAAGAAAGCAATCCTGAGCAAACATGGAAGTACCAGCATAACAGCAGCGTTCACCAGAATCCCAGTTTTCAGGTATGAGCTAAAGCCTACACTGAAAGGGGAAGGTGTCAGCTCCAGTCAAGCCTCAAAGCATGACAGCAGCCACATGCAAGGTGAAGAATCCAAATCAACACAAGTTTGAGGAGTGTGGCATACTCCCAGGAGATGCAAACTACTCTCTGATTAAGCATCCTGGTTTTCCAAGTTGTGAACATCACACACTAAGAACTAAGCCATCTAGGCTTCAGCCTTTAAGCAGGGAGTTGGGTTTAACACCTCAAACTTTCCACAATGCCTAATGGGGCTCAGAGGAGAAAATGGTATTGCTCAAAATATTTCAAAGGTGGTTTAAGCAGGTGCAAGGCTAGAAAGAGAGCAGCGATTGGGAGGCAGATGCTGTACTGTGTGTTTTATGGTTATTGTTAGTTTTCTCTCAGGTTAAACAAGCTTCAGTTCAGTCAAGCATTTGATTTCCCTTTACCAGAATAATAATGATCTGCAACCCAGTAAATCACCGGGGAACATTATGCTTAGGGCTTCTGACTTTACCCAGAAAAGGCACAGATGGATCCAGAAAAAGATCAGAGCTACATGCACGCATATATGTCCCTACAAGAATGACAGTAGGTAAAGAAGTTTGGAAGAGAAATGAGCATAAACAAAGCCCTACAAAGCAAGCAGCAAAGGGAAGACCAGCAGCAAGATCCCAGGTTCTCTTCTATAAATAAAAGAAAGGAGTGGGGCCAGAGGTAAAAAAAGGCAAAGAATCTCTCCAGCCCCACCTTAAAATGGCTACAGGGAAATGCTTGATAGAAATTCTGGTATAATTAACTTGTGGACACTCTGGTTGACACATTATCAGAGCAGCTAGCTCACCAGGAGTCCAAAAAGGGTTAAATATTTTATATAAATTGTATTTGCAGTAACTGGCTATAAAACACCTTGCTTAAAATAATTGCCAACTAGGGTCACATAAATTTCTCAGGACCAAGCAGCATAATTAGGTACTTCAGAGCAACACATAAAATCCTCATATTGCGAATGGTATCGGTCATTGCTGGAAGCAGGCCAGGAACTAGAAGAATGATTTGCTGGGCAAAGATTTTTTTTTTCTTTTTTTAATAGATTTGGATAGGAATGAACAGATGCAAACTAAGTGCCCTGGAACAAAAAAAGCAAATGAAAGGCTAAGTCTTCTTTCCATCTCATATAGCTGTGGGCTTTTAATCATATGCACCTCTTCCTTCCTTGTCTGAAAAAGGAGGGTTGGTTTCTTACAAGCTTTGTTGAATTGCACTTAGAGAGGTCCAGCTCTTCTAGAGAAAAGCCCTCCACTGCTGCCACTGGATAAAGCTATAAAGGGCAAGTGTCTGTATCAGGAGACACAGAGCTTAGCTGGGGTCCCCCCTTCGTTGAGCTCCAGGCAACATTTCCCAGAGATCCTCTGGACCCACAGGCAAAGGCAGTTCTGCAACCTTTGGGGGAGCACAGCTAGCAGCTCTCTGCATCTTCCTTCTCCTCTGCCAGCGGGTCACAGGCCTGCTAGGTTACATGGGACAGGGTTCTGAGGACAGGTTTACAGAAAACCCAGAAGAAAGGTCTGCACCCAAGAGAAGCCTGGAGTGCCATTTAATGACAAGAGTCACTGTAGAAGGTTCTTTCCAGAATACTCTGGGAAAATACCAAGGCAGAAATGAGAGCTCCAACTCACCTCCCACATGGGTTTGATCCCTTCTTTAAAAAGATGGAAGTCACTATGGCCTGTCAGGTCCCCAGGACGTACCATGTGACTGTAAAACCGCCAGAACTGCTCCACCTGCAATGACACGAACCACACAGTAAGGCTGCTCAAACTGTTCACAGCCAAGATTCCTACAGAAACAGGCTTCCCTTTCTACACCAGCTGGCCAGAGCCACCTTCCCCTCTTCTATTCTACTTTCTTGTCAAAAGGGTGTTGATTAGGATACCCAGAAGGCAGAAGTAGGATCAGAGCTTGGTTGCCTGTTTGTGACTGGCTCCATTACCAGATGAACACTTGAAATATTCAATAAGTGCCCCCAGAGTTACTTGGTGTTTGTGTAAAGAAATCTGTGGCAAGATAACTGCTGCTCTGGAGAGCAGTTCCAAACGTATCTTGTAAATCCTACTGCCCAAACTTTCAATTCATTATTATGTGTCAAGTGTACCAGCTACAACCAAGCTTCTCTACACTACACCCATTAGCCCTGCATTAACCACTGCTCTCTGCAATTGTGGAGACTGCAGGAGCCTCCAAATGAGACTTTTTTTGTATTTAACTTTACTGTATCCAGGTTTTAAGACAAAAGACACATTCTGATGCTAGTTTAAGATCTTAAGGCACCATTCAGAGCTTTTATTTAAATACCCGTTATCTCCTTTAACAATCTGCCATGGTACACTTTGACCATTTCGCCTTGATCAGTTTCCATTCTGGCACCCCTGTGCCTACTTCAGACAGTCTGGTCAAAAGGCAAGGGAATTATCTTTTCTAATTCTTAAAAATAACATATTTATCCTTTGAGATTCTCTGGATGAGAAATTATTTTAGAGAGGCTGGATCTTTAAAACAAAACAAGGCACTGGAAGAGATAATACTCATCACTACATTTTAAGAGGACTCTACTCAGTGAGACAATAGCTATTAAGCAGATCAGCAATGAAGCTGGAAGGGTTAGACACCATCCCAAGTACTTTATCAGAGACCTGGAATTCTGCTCCAATCTCTGACCTCTGCCATCCAAGAAGGAATTTGCTTTTATTGCCAATAAAATTATGAACCAAGGCTGAGGTGGGGTCAGAAGCAATCCATTTTTGTCAGACACATCCAAATGCAGTGTGGAAATTAAGTTCTTACACCAAGTGAATATGCCCTCTAGTGGTTAGCATTTAAAAGCTTTTAGAGCTTTCTACTCAAAAGCAAAGAACAAATCTGAACCCAGATTTAGGCTCAGACAATTCTTTCTGAAGCTTGTTCCTCCTCCTTAAACAGAATTTGGACCCAGCACATTATCAGATCTGCTGGCCAATCTCACTGCATTGTAACTGAACTCTAGCACTTCCAACCCACAGCAGCAACCACAAAGTCTTTGCAGCAAAGAACAGACAACAGAATATGTGAAGTTTTTCCTCTAAGGAGCTAAAAATCACCATTAAGTCTACACTGATTTAACAGACTGAAAAACAATTGCCAGATCACCAGGCAGCAGCCACATTTTTCATTCACTGAACTAAAAGTACTTGCTCACACAGGGGAACAGGAGCAGTAACTACCCATGATGACAGGCTTAGAGCCATTCTTCCCACTCTTATCCTGCGTCGATGCAGTAACACAAGCCAGCTGCTTGGACAGGCTTATTTTTGCAGCCTCCAACAAACTCATCACATTACAGAAGACAGAGATGTACTGGCAGGCAAAATTAAAGTCTGCAAGGGACCCTGGAAAACCTGGACAAAATACTAGATTTAAAAAAAAAATAAAAAAGATGCAGCCAACAGACTTCCCAGCCTTGAGAACAGTATTGTATCTGGTGCCTCCACAACGGTGACACGTTTTGCTTATGTACCCTGGGATCTTAATGATGGTTTTACACTGCTGGTACCATGCAACTGCATGACCCTGCCTTTCCAGGATACACTGAATTTATTCCAGTAATAAACAACTACAAAGTGTGGAAGGGGAAAGGGATAGCAGTTTGCCTTTTATTGAACTTCACTGCAACACCAAACTGCACCTCAGTCATCACTTCCAGGCAGGCAAGAGACAACAGGCCACCAGCTGCCTGTCATATAGCATGGCAGATGCTTGTTCCAAACACAGTCTTTGCGGTGGAAATACAGGCAGGGGGGCTGTACAGTCTTTCCTTCACACCTACATTGCATCCAGAAAAGCTGTTCCTTTCTTCTCTTGCTTACCTGTCAAGTTCTGCTCCAGCTAGCAGATCTAAACTACATGGGAGTTCTCTTCATTGACTATTATTATTCCAGCCACCACCATTATTGCAGGCACAGCTGTCTAGTGCAAGGCAGAGAACTGCTTAACACTTCACGTGCTGTAGGTAATTCAAGAACTCATATGTAATCCATGGCAAATCACTCGCTCTCCTCTGTTCCTGACAGCCAGAGCACAGCCTGCACATGGCATGCACCTCGCACACAGGGAGTAAGCCAGCCACGATGACCACGCCATGCCCAAGCGAGACAAGGACAACAGGGATATACTCACGGAGGCAAAGGTGCCAATCTGTTTGATATTCTGTTCATAACTCTGCGAGCTGGTAGGCCTCCCGGGTGTTCGTCTGGAGTACCAGAAGGTGTAATTATACTGCAAGGGGTGCTCAGCTGGCCCTGGGACAACAGCCTGTGGGACAGAAAAGCTTGCTTACCCCTTACCCTCCTCTAAAGGGGGAATTGGAAAAATTACATCCACAGCATCAGAAGTCCACATGTTCCTGCCCTCACAGACTACAAACCAAACAACTGATCCTCATTTTTACAGAAAAATACTATCTCTGTTAATTGTCTGAAATGGACTATTAGACTAACAGCAGCCGACTACTTCAAAGAATATAACAAATTTGCAGTGTGGGGATAGCTAAGGAAATAATAAGCTCAGGAGACCGTCACAAAAAAAGCAACCCTCATAACTATCAGAGGCAGTATTACTAAGTTTTCCTTTAGTCCTTAATTGTTCCTATCTCAAAGGAAAAAAGACAGACAAAATTAAAAGGGCAATGCAAGAGTTTTAACTTTTTCAAATTAAAAAAAAAAAGACACTCTTCTCCTCTGGGAAGAACAAAACCCATTTATACTAAACCATGATTCAAAAGCAATTATAACTCTTTGGTGTCACCAACTCCCTTAAGCAACCAACACCCTAACTCCGGGAGGATGAGTCTGTCTTAAAACTCGTTATGTCAGCTTTAGCAGAACCCATGGCTAGCAGTGGGCAGTGATCATTTTCACTTTCCAAAACATCCATTTCTGATTAAAAAGACTTCTAACAAGCATAAAAGAGGTTAAAAAGAACACATTACCCAAGAATCAAAACTGACATGAAAAAGAAAACCAAACAGCAAAAAGCCCTTATCTTGTATTACTTGCTATTGTTACAGGAGTAACCGGGGATTAAATCTCTATTCTCCTCTTGTCTATGGTAAGTTTATAAGGATTGCATTATTTTAGACAGAATAGTTTTCCTAAGCACAAGATTAAAAAACCTCAAAACATGGATACACACATTCTTAACTAGGCTTCACTACACTCACAGAGACCCATCTTAAGAGTTATTTCATCACTTGCACAAACACAGCTTGGTAAGCCAAGTGCAAGCCACTACTCCCCCATCAGTCAGTCCTTTCCCTATACCCTCTTCCACAAAAGTTCTTGGGGGAAAATAAAACTTTTTCATTTCTATTCAAAAGCCTGGCAGAGCACTAGCTGCATTTGTGAAGGGAGCATTCAATCCTCAGATTACACACCTCCAAAAGCTACGTCAAATTATCCAAATCATAACATAGCACCTCTGTCTTCAATGTAACAGTAACAGCGCATTAAGCAACCACAGCCCACCAAGACCTAAGTTCCTTATCCCTGAACCGAGGACCGACTCTCTAGCACTCCCACATTATGCCCGAGTGATGGAATGCAGATGCCAGCACCATACCTTCCTCTTGGTAGTACTCTGTGGTTTCTCTCGATCATTCTTTTCCTTCTCACTGTCTTTCTGTGTGTTATTCTCCTCATTCTGGTCATGGTCTCCACTATCATCATCTTTCAATCTGATAAAGAAAAAGAACAACAAAAGCGAGTCTTACATCTCGCAGCTGAGAAGTTTCATACCATGCCCCAGTAGTCCCTGCGTCTAAGCTCCTCCATGGTACAAGGGCCATCGGCGTTTGGAAATCTACGCGTGACAACCCACACAGAAAAAACTACCACTACTCTGCACGCCCAGAGCCCATCACATGCATCTCAGGCACACACTTTTAAGCAGAAGCAAGCAACAAAATGCCTTTTTAGAACAAACTCAAGCAGTTCTTACTAGATACTGATCTGCCACAGAAAACCCAGTTACTCGTTAGGGTCCCTAACTACTGAGGAGGCGAACGAGGAGACCCGCTGCTGCAACTTGGCTGACTCTCTCCCGCCCAGCTCCCCACGCCCCTAAGCACAGCCGAGGCAGCCCCTCAGCCACGCAGACACCACCCCAGCGCCCTGCACCCCGCAGGTCTCTCCACCCGCCCCATTCCCTGCGAAGTGCCGGTAGAAGGTGAGCGAGAAGCGGGGCCAAAAGGCGG